ACAAACACTTATTATCTAAGGAAAAGAAGAAGAAATTTAAGTACCCTGATGAATGGGAAGCTTCATCTTTAGCCCACTCCTGCCACATCGCAGGGCCCAATGGGAACAAACCACATATAGTTTCCCTCGCTTGCATTAGCTTATCAAGTTCACCCATTTTCCTCAAAAGCTTAATGTACAGAGGGAAAAAAAAATGTAAAATAGATATAGAAAACCAAAAAAAATACAAAGCTTTAGCGATTTGTGAGGCAGTTTAGATAGAGATAGATTGATAGAATTAATTACCCAAATGTGGGCGTCATAGTTGGAGGGATTGGTGGAGAGCTGGGATTGTAAGTTTTGCAGCTCAACAGCCTGCTCTGCTTCGTTTTCGGAGTCACTAGAATCCGAATCATCTGAATCGGATACGGTGTGGGCAGCCGCCATCTCCGCATCTGCGATATGTTGTCGGGAAACAGGAATCGGCTCTGATTCTTCTCCTTCCATAGCCGTCGCCTTCCCTTCCCCAAGGGTTTCAAGCTTTGCGTTTGGGATTTGGAAGTCGCTCCGCTCCTCTCCTCTCCCTTGCTCTGCTCTCTAGTTTCTTCTGTAGTAATAGTAGCTTATAAATGGTATTTTTGTGTCCTCAAAAGTTCTTAAGTAATGCTTGAAAGTGTTGGTGATTGGGTGTAGTTGTTTGAATTTGAAATTAGTTGTTTGTCGGTTCAACTTTCCCCAACGGTTGAAAAAAAAATCTTTATTTTCTAAAATTCTTCCGAAAAGTAAGGCAGTATTACTCAATTTATTTTTTCAAAATATTTTATCTCATAATTTCGTGGTATTAGTTTTTTACCATAATTGTTTGTTTGTTTGTTTGTGTAAAAATGGAAGAAGATAACATTTAACGCATCAAATCAACCGAAAACTCAACATTAATACAGATTCCCCTCAAATTTAAATTTTAAATTAAAGGATGAATTTGTCGTGAATGGTTAATCTGTGTATTTAAATAAAAAAATGTCATAAAAATACAAAACATGAAATAATATTCCAACAAATTTTTTTTTTTTTAAGGAGAGGGCAGACTAGGGTTAGCAATAAATAATTAAAGATTTTATTATATCATTCGAGATTTATATTATTACATAATTCTTTTTTCAAGGTTTTGAAAACACAATCTTGTATTTTCTGGATGTTAAAAAAAAAAAGAAAAAAAAAGACACACAGCCTTACATTTTCTGCACGTTGGGCTAGCTTTTTTTCCGCCCAATAAACCTGGTCTCTTGTTCCTTTTTATTTTTTAACAAAGGAAATATTCAAATGGGGACTCAAAAACAAAAGGGTTTCAATTTTTTTTGCTGGCAAAAA